AGGAAGCAAGAAATGAGTTATTGGCCACTATATCCTAGCCTTTGATCTGCTCTTGCAGCCACAGTATTTATATGGTTAATCCAGTTCAACTCGTGATCAATGGCAACCACCCCAGATGTTAACAGTGGAGGATTCAGTGATGGCAACATTATTGAGCATCAATAGGGTGACTGTTCAATTATCTCTTGTTGGAGATGGCCATTGCTTAGCCCTGTGTGGCTTAAATGTTACTAGCCACTTGTCAGTCCAAGCCTGAATGTTGTCTAGACCTTGCTGTATGTGGACATGGACTGCTTCAAAATCTGAGATGTTGCCAAATAGTGCTAAAGATTGTGCAATCATCAGCAAACATTGTCACTTTTAATCTATGATGGACAGATAACCATTGATTGAGGAGGGATCATCATCCAAGCAGCATTTTGGGCCTAGAACATTACACTGAAGAACTCTACTGGAGCATTGGTAGTGTCATTATCGCTGAACCAGGAAGCCCAGGTTCAAGTCCCACCTACTCTAAAGTTGTGTAAAAACAACTCTGAATAGGTTGATAGAAAATATCTATTCCAAGGAACTTTGGGGCCTGGTGGCACAGTGGTAGACTCCCTTCTTCTGGCCAGGAGACCTGGGTTCAGGTTCCACCTGCTCCAGAGGAATATCATAACTTCTCTTAACAGATTGATTAGATGATATCTACCCTGAGGAACACATGCAGCAATGTCTTGTGTCTGAGAATGATTGATCTTCAACAATCACAACTGGTTTCCTTTCGGCCAGTTATGATTCCAACCAGTGGACAGCTTTCTCTCTCTTCCCCGCACTTCCCACGCCCCCCTTCCCCGATTCCCAGAGAGTCCAATTTAGAGCTGATGCTAGAGCACCTTGATGCCATACTCAGTTAAATATTAAGGACAGATGTAATGTCGATGTTAAGGGCAGTCAATCTCACCTCACCCCTATAGTTCTACTCTTTCATCCATCTTTAGACGAAGGCTGTAATGAGGTCAGGATACAAATGGTCCTGGCAGAAATCAAATTGAATATTTATGAGTAGGTCCTTTGCTATTGCCAGTTGACTTGGTAGTTAATCATGAATAGACTAATAGATTGGTAATTGGCTGGGTTGCATTTATCCTGCTTTTTGTGTGCACGATATGCCTGTCAATTTTCCACATAGTCAGATACATACCAGAATTGTAGCTGTACTGGAGCAGCTTGGCTAGGGTGCTACAAGTTCTGGAACATAAGTATTCAGTACTATTGCCTATATTGTCAAGGCCCATGGTCTTTGCAGTAACCGGAAGTTTCTTGATATTACACTGCATGAAGCAAATTGGTTTAAGATTGGCATCATTATGCTGGGTACCTCTGGAGGTGATCAAGATTAGTCACCACTCAGCTCTTCTGGCTGAAGATGAATGCAGATACTTCAGCTTATCTTTTGCACTGATGTGTTAGGTTCACCTCCGAGGAGCCGTTTAACTGTCCACCAGCTTTCGCACTAGGAAAGCTGCAGGGCTTGGATCTGATCTATTGGTTGTGGGATCGTTCAGCCTTTTCTATTGTGTACTGCTTCCACTGTGTGACCCTTCTGCATTCTTCATTGAACCATGCTTGATCTCCGAGCTTGATGGTAATGATAGAGTGGAGGATATTCCAAGCCACAGGGTCATATTGTGGTCAAATACCATTCTGGGGTATTCTCATGAATGTCCAGCTTCAAGTTGCTAATTTGCTCGAAGACTGTCCCATTGTGCACAGTGGTGGTGCCACACAACACAATAGAAGCTTCTCAATGTGGAAGTACAACTTTGTCTCCAAAAGACTGTGCAATAATCAAATGCAACAGGTACGCAGACCAAGTCAAGGTCAAGTAGTTTATTTCTCCTTCTTAGTTCCCTCACCACCTGCAGCTATGTGCTTTAGGACTTGGCCAGTTGGGAACTCAGTCATCTCTCAAAGGGTCAGATGGAACTAACAAATCTGTGGATATGCTCTTACAAAGTCACAGTCAAAAAGATGCAAACTTGGGCAACAAATTCATCTGACAACACTGAGAACTCATGTCCCTGAAGCAACACAATAAAAAAGTTACACTGAGAGGTGATGGACAGTAAAATCAACAGAAAATAACTCCTTAGTGCCATGTGTGTTTACCCACCTGAGATGCCAGAAACAATTTAAACTCTAATGGCTGTTCCAGTGACAGGTCACAGAACTGGAACATTTATTTAGGGGTCTCTCTCCCTCTTAATAGATACTGCTGGTTGTGCTAGGTCTTTCCAGTATTTTCTATTTGTATATCATAATAAACAACACTAACTATAGGTTTGTATTCTTTAGAATAGCTTCTGTAATTGAATAGATAATAAATTATTCCAATATGTGGATCTAGTGGTCTGGTATATGAAATGGAATTTAGAGAAGCTCCGTACTGCATACCTGGAGGAACATCAAGAGAAAGGGAGAGTTATAAAAGGAAATAGTCCATTGAGGGAAAAAAAATCAAAGACTAATTTGATTTTCAATGAGACAATAGCATAACAACAGCAATACACAGCTGAGAGATTGTTTGGAGATTGTCTTTCAAATCATAACCAGAGTCATTCTTTATTTAGCTTTGAGGTAGCATGAGTAAACAGCCTTAGCTAACTGAGTTTTGGTTCCACCTTGTGGAGAATTTACTGATCTCCACTGCAAGAATGAACCACTAACGTCAAAGATTGCCATTGTGTAGTGAATCAATTCAGAATGCAGCTGATTGCAGTTTCACAATATTTTGCCTTTAGTCTTCAAGTATTTGTTCTTGAAGCACTGGTTAAGCCCCAGATTGCTAATCCCTAGTTACCCCAGATGGTGGCATCCCTTCAGCTTGAAAAGCTGCAACTCTCCAGTTCCTGGTTCACCATTAATAGTGTTAGACAGGAAATTCTAGGATACTGACCTAGCGACGAGAATGAAAAGTTGATATACATCTAAATCAGAACGGTAAGTGACTTGGAGGTAATACTCCCACAACATTAACCCTTCTGTCACAGAACTGAAAAACTGTCAAAGTTAATTTTGGCGAATTGCTGCAGTTGATCGTGTGAATAGTATTTCCTGCAGTCACAATGCACGAGGAGGAGGAGGACAAAAATCCAGTGATACAGCTATTGATCAAACAGACTGCTCTGCCCTGCTTAAATTACACATCTTACATGATAATAAAATCCCTTTTTCAATAAACTTTGCTCCTGCAGATACAACTCTAGACAGTCGTGAAGATAGTAGTAGAGAATTGGAGAAAGCAGTGAAGCTTTCTATCTAATACAACACCAATCAATATTCTTTTCTGACTTGTTATCTTTTCAGGATGAGAAGGAAAACGGTTGAATTTAACTATCAGCCTGTTAGTTCAGTGCGATTGGACTTTTCAGTCTCATGGTGCTTTTATGTTGTTATTCTTATAAAAAATGATATGATCCCTGACAGGTCTCCTGGTAATACTCCCCCAACCCAATAGGTAAAAGAAAAGTACTCTGGCAGTAATCTGTTAGACCGCTACAGCAATGTATCCCTCCTGCCATCCTCAACAGGCATTTCATATTTCAGATGTAGTAGGTGACTAGAGAAAAAGCAGAGAAACTTAAAAATCACTATACTTTTCAATGTGCTAAATGGCATCCACAAACCGTGATATTTATGTTTGTACTATCTTGCAGCAGCTAAATTATGAATATCAAAAACAGAACAAATGATTGGCTCCTTGAGATGTACAGAAATATTGCTTCTACTGCAGGACCAGAGAGTGGGAAACTATATATTGTGGCATTATTGCATCTTTCTACTTACAAAGATGATAGTGATATCAGGCAACTAGGGGGTGGCAATCTTTAACACATGCTGCCGTGTCTACCACATTGCTCATGTATTGTATTTCCTGTAGTTTGGCACAATGACTGAAAATTTATAATAATATATAATCAGCTTCCTGTACATTGTCAATGGAGAAAACATGTGCACGCACACATGTATGTGTTTTTTGGGGAGGACTTGTGTTGGTCTGAAGTAGTAAGCTATGCTTACTTGATTGCTTTCTTAGGTGACCAGTATATATTATTTGCATTTACTATATGCACCTCGCAGACACTTTGTTGGGTCACATCAATGTTTTCCAGGTGCAAACCTTTTAAATATTTTGATTAATTTTTCATGTAAAATCTCAAATTAGTCAGAAGATATAGGCCTTGCGTCAATCAACCATTATGCAAAGAGTCAACATGAGCAGTTTGCAGTTATTAGATTCATTATTAGCACAGTACAAACATATGCTGCACCCAATTTCAAGTGACTCTGCAAACAAAAGAACTTGCGTTCAAATGGCACCTTTTATACACTCAGGACATCAAAAAGACTTCTTCAACTAATCAAATATTTCTGAAGTATAATCACCGTTGTCATGCAGCAAATATAACTTGCTCCATGACAAGAAATCAGATAAAGTACTATTTAATGACGATGGTTGAGAAATAAACACTGGTTAGAAAACTGGGGACAGCATGTCTTTATATCCACCCGAGAGCAGGCAGAGCTTCAGGTTAATGTTTCATCTGAAAGATTGCACTTCCTTCAAAATTGCACTAGAATGTCAGCCGATATTATGTGCTCAAATTTCTGGAGAAGATCTTGAAACCACAAAATCTGTGCAACTGGAGATGAGCAGAACTAGAAAACCACAAAGAGACATATCATGGGGCTTAGAAAAGGAATTCTTCACAGGTGATTTGGCCAAACTTAAACACCACCTTTAGTTGCTAGCACTAACAAATCCAAATTGGCAACTGTCCACTTCTCAGGACTCCTAGTCTTCACCAAATGTGGATATAAAAGGAAAGGGTGGTTGGCATTTCATCCTAAACATCAACACTAAGTAATTACAGGCCCCATAAAATAAATCTGAAACATTGAAAAAACAAACTTTAATTTCTACAGTCAAATTGTAAGTGGTTAATTCTACTCACCAGCATTCATTGCCTTAAATTTCTGCTTTAACTCCCTTGGGGTAAGGCGATAATGATCAAGGCCATCATTCCAACGGATATGATCAAGAACTTGCAGGTCTCCACCTACCAGCCAGCTGCCACTCTGCATTACCATCTGTGCGCATACAGAGCCAAAAGAAACTGTTACACTTCAAATAAGCAATGGGAGATCGCTGTGGAGAAGGATATGGAAGATACAGAACATGGGGAAATAAATAACAACGTCTTGAAAAAAGTCCATGTTACAGAGTAGGTCCTGCTGGACGTCTTAAAATGCACAAAGGTGGATAAATCCCCGAGATCTGATCAGGTGTACCCTAGAACTCTGTGGGAAGCTAGGGAAGTGATTGCTGGGCCCCTTGCTGAGATATTTGTATCAGAGGTACCGGATGACCGGAAGTTGACCAATGTGGTGCCACTATTAAAGAAAGGTGTTAAGGAAAAGCCATGGAACTATAAACCAGTGAGCCTGACATCAGTCGTGGGCAGATTGATGGAGGGTGTCCTGAAGAAGAGGATTTACATGCATTTGGAACGGAAAGGACTGATTAAGGATAGTCAACATGGCTTTGTGCGTGCGAAATCATGTCTCGCTAACTTGATTGAGTTTTTTTGAAGAAGTAACGAAGAGGATTGATAAGGGCAGAGTGGTGGATGTGATCTATATGGACTTCAGTAAGGTGTTCAACAACATTCCTCATGGTAGATCGGTGAGCAAGGTTAGATTGCATGGAATATAGGGAGAACTAGCTGTTTGGATACAGAACTGGCTTGAAAGTAGAAGACAGAGGGTAGTGGTGGAGGGCTGCTTTTCAGATTGGAGGCCTGTGACCAGTGGTGTGGCACAAGGATCAGTGTTGGGTCCACTGCTTTTCGTCATTTATAAAAAGTGATTTGGAGGTGAACATAGGAGGCATGGTTAGTAAGTTTGGAGATGACACAAAATTGGAGGTGTACTGGACTGGGAAGAAGGATAACTCAGGGTACAAGGGGATCTTGATTAGATGGGCCAATGGGCCGAAGAGTGGCACATGGAGTTTAATTTAGATAAATGTGAGGTGCTGCATTTTGGAGATGCAAATCAGGGCAGGACTTGTACACTTAATAGTAAGGTCCTGGAGAGTGTTGCTGAACAGAGATACCTTGGAGTGTAGGTTCATAGTTGCTTGAAAGTGAAGTCGCAGGTAGATAGGATAGTGAAGAAGGCATTTGGTATGTTAGCCTTTATTGGTCAGTGCATTGAGTATAGGAGTTGGGAGGTCATGTTGCGGCAAACCAGGACATTGGTTAGGCCACTGTTGGAATACTGCGTGCAGTTCTGGTCTCCCTGTTATAGGAACATGTTATGAAACTTGAAAGGGTTCAGAAAAGATTTACAAGGATTTTGCCAGGGTTGGAGGATTTGAGCTATAGGGAGAGGCTGAATAGACTGGGACAGGTAGATCTATACTCTTCTGTATGATGGCCATAAAGGACATCAGAACTCTGATATTTCAAAGTAGTGGCTCACAGCTGACCAGCAGGAGGTGCTATGGAAGTTACTGCTGGACAATAACCCGTGTGGCCCCTCAGGCACTCACTAGCACATGCCAATTGATGTGTGGATGCACTGACATCCAATTCTGGAAGGTGCTGGTGTGCATGGATCTCAGAGGTCTGTGCAACAGCAAGAGAAGTTAGGAGAACATAACAGATGGGTGTAGGGTATTTGCAGTTAAAACACTCCCAATTATCACATCTTCAGATGACACCAACTTGTTTGACAGACTGACCAAGACAGAGCTCTTAAACACATCCTTTATAGAATCATAGAGCCACACAGCACAGAAACAGACGCTTCAGTCCAACTAGTCCACGCCAAACATATTCTCAAACTAAACTAGTCCCACCTGCCTGTTCCTGGCCCATATCCCTCCAAATCTTTCCTATTCATATACTTATCCAAATGTCTTTTGAACATTGTAATTGTACACAAATCCACCCTACCTCAGAACATTCACTTCACATGCAAACCACCCTCTGCGTAAAAAAATTTGCCTCTCATGTCCTTTTTAAATCTCTCTTCTCTCACCTCAAAAATGTGCCCCCTCATCTTGAAATCTCCCACCCTCGGGAAAAGACACCTGCCATTTACTTTACCTATTATTTTATAAACTTCTATAAGGTCGCTTCTCAACCTTCTATGCTCCAGTGAAAAAAGTCTCAGCCTATCCAGCCTTTCTTTATAACTCAAACCTTCCATCCCTGGCGATATCACGGTAAATCTCTCCAGCTTAATAATATCCTTCCTATAACTGGGCAACCAGTACTGGATACAGTATTCAAGAAGCCTCATCAATATCCTGTACAATCTCAACAAGGTTTTCCAACTCCTGTACTCAAAGGACTGAGCAATGAAGACAAGCGTGCCTAATGCCTTTTTAATCACCGTGTCTATAAGTGATGCAAACTTCAAAGACTTATGTACCTGAACCCCCTAGGGCCCTCTGTTCTACAACACTACCCAAGCCCCTATCCAAATGCCGCACTGATCTTAACGGAAGAGATGTTTTTAGCAAAACCTTAATGTAAGGATGTTCTTTGCAAGTTGTTCCCCACTGACGTGCACAACGCTCCTCTTTCCTGTGCTCGTAGAATTCCGGATTGCGAAGGATAGCCACCCGCTGTCCATTATATAACAGAGCAAAGGCAGTGCAGCCATCCAGTCGCTCTTTGTCTTCATTTGTTGCTGTCAGGACAATTGGCACTGACAAGTTAATGAGACCCCCTGTAGTAGAAGGCAAAACAGAAATAAAAGCATTAAAATAAATTATACATAATTTACTACTTATACAAGAGATTGTACTGGGTGCAGCCATATAAATAAAAAAATGAAGATTTCAGGTAGCTAGTATGCTTGATTAGATCTTCCTGCATTGATCTTCCACATCACACCCCTATCAATACAAAGCCTTTGAAAGTACCTTGCCCACCCCAGAATAGGAGAGTAGAATCAAGTTTCTGTGGGAGTGAGCTAAATGGCAACTTTGCTGAGGCTAGAGTTTGGACTCCTGTGGTCATCACCACCATTACAAGAATTTAAACTGCCACATATGCCATTCTGGAAAATCTTCTAGGACCTGAGTGAAAGGGCAAGATCTGAGGCATCATCTCTGGTGTGGGGCTGTTTACTGAGCCATTCTAAAATCTTGTGAAGTATTCCACGTGATGGCGAATCTTGTCCCCGTTATGTTTTATGCAATATTTACATTAACATTTATTGAAGTACCATGCTTTGATTACTAATAACATAAGCTTTGAAGGCACAAAGATGCCATAGATCAGCCTTTACTGAACTTTATAGGAAAAGAGGAATCAATGAAGAATTCAGACATCACCTGGAACGTGCGATCCTATTAAGTGTTAACACTCAGTTTCACTTTGAACACAATGATTCAGAACATGAAGTCTAAATTTAACCCATTTGCAAATGTTACCATTGCTGGTGAGGCTGGCATTTATTGCTAAATGTTCTGGCTCCAATTCAAATTCAGGAGTTGTTCAGTCACTACTGAGGGCAGTTAAGAGAAAACTACTCTGGAGTTAAATACAGGCCACATCAGGTAAGGATAACAGATTTCCCATTGAACCTTAGTGAGTAAACTGCATCTTTATTGCAAAAAGCTTCACACTACCACAATTTGAGTATTAGCTTTTTAATATGGTGGACAAACAAAGCAAAGAAGGTGGCAGTTTTAAAAACCAGCGATCCATAAGATATGTAGAACTCATTTGGGATCAGAAAGGAGGAACAATGAAAAAGATTGTTTGTGTACCATGCATCAAAGGAGTCAGCAATGCACTTTGGAGAATATTGTGTACAGGTTCCTTCTTATGCAGTAAAATTAGGGACAGAATCAGTCAGAAAAATGTACATTACCCACTTTGGTAGAAAAATCAAATGTGTATTTCTTAAATTGTGAGAGGTTAAATATTCAAAGGGAACCTGCTCCAGAGGTGGGTAATAAAACCTCTGAACAGGTTGGTTAGAAAATGTCCAGAAAATCTAACAATGGCAAATGGTGGAAACATGAAAGGTCACTGACCTTAAACATTCATTTGGTTTCTTTCCTCAGCTGTACAATTATTTATTTAGGCCACATTTGGAATATTGCATGTAGTTCTGTTTGCCACACTACCAGAAGGATGTGGAGGTTTTGGAGAGAGTACAGAAAAGGTTTAACAGAATGTTGTCTGCTTTGCAGCTGTGAGGACAAATTGGACAAACTTGGCTTGTTTTCATTTGAATGTCAGAGGCTAAGGAGTGACCTGATAAGATGATGAGAAGCATAGATAAAATGGATAGTCTGATTCTTTTTCCCAGGGTAGAAATGTCAATTACTAGTGGACATAGGTTTCAGGTAAAACGGAGAAAATTTAAAGGATATGTGAGATTGTTGTTTCTTTTTTAAACACAGGTTGGTAAGTGCCTGGAATGCGCTACTACAGGAGGTGCTAGAAGCAGATACAAACGCAACATTTAACAGGCATCTTGACAGTATGAAGATACTATGGCTTTAAGAGGTATTTTGTCCTGGTATTTTTTTTAAAGTGAAGAAAGGTGGAGACAGAGGTTCCGTGCAGTCTGCTCCAAAGCCAATAAAGTAAATAGCTTGAGGGGCCTTTTTGTTTTAAGTTGGAACAACATAAGTAGCCTGAATGGGTGGAATCGAGTTTCCACAGAACCAGGATTTTTTTTTAGTTTTAGCCTTCAGCAGCAGATGCTAGGGTTTTGAAGCTGGATGTGGAAGTTGTTATACCTCTCTCTGTTACAGCTAAAAGCTGGAGTTCACTTCCTGTCACTGGAATTGCATTAGAGAGAATCTATTTTACTGAATTTGCCTTTGCCAAGGGTGTGTTTATGGGATGTTACTCTATTGGAACAGTTAATTAGTAGTACTTAATATACAGGTATTATTTTGTTAAGTAGTTTGGTAGAGTTACAGTTAAGCCAATTCTTTTATTTTTGTTTCATCTATATTTTAATTACAGTGTATGAATAAAGTTAGCTGGACTATCTTCTTAATATATTTTGAGGAAGATTGGTCTGGTCCATAACAATAGATAAAAGAATAGGCAGGGAAGACAGGGATACAGCTTTTTAATTTCAAAAGGCACCATGTCGGTGCAAGCTAGGCGGGCCAGAGGGCCTGCTTCTGTACTGTACCTTGTTCTTCTTGGATGGTACCAGATTTGCTAAGTATTTACAAGTTTAGTTTACAATTTGTCTTGACTCTGCACGCAATATCACTTTGTTTAAGGAATATCAGAACTTTACTGGCACTGACCACGAACTTGCCATCACTACTTTCAATGATCTACATGACCGTCATAGTCTTCCTATTATATTGTAAATGATACATTGTTACAAAGGAATGTGGCTGTAGCATTTTATGCTGCCTTTAACTGTTATTAACTCCTGAACCTTCCAATTCACAGGAGGCTTAAACTTTTCATTAAGCTCTTTTGAGTCTGCATATTGTATCCAAGAGGAAATCCTTGTTCCATCCCCACTTACATTGAGTGATATTCCAGGCTCTACATCCAATCTTTTACACATGCAAACCATTAGAATTGACAAAAAGACATTAGAGCATTAACTTTTAAGTTAACAAAGAAGATACTCATCAACTGAATGCTAGCTCATGCTTTGCCTCTCTCAGCCAGGGATTTATTCAGGTCCTTACCATCCAACAAGCAGCCAAAGTGAAGGCACTGCAAGAATTCCCGTTCTCTCATGAAGCCATTCAGTGGAGTGGCCCAACCCTCAGCCAATACCTGCACCCACTGCAAATCCACCTAGAAAGAAAAGCAGAGGCATAAGCAGCATAGAATGTCTCCTTCTTAACAATTTGATGGCATTATTTAATTACCAACATAAACCGTGAATAATGCACATCAGACTGTATCCATATCCTCAGGGTGGTCCAAAGCCAATTACTTACTCGAAGTTAATTATCTGTACATAACTGCAGCAGCCAGTTTATATACTGCAAATTCCCACAAGTATCAATGGAATAAATAACCAAGTAATATGTTCCCCATAGTTTTGATTTAAAAGACCAGTCGGCACACTATAAATAATTGCTGGCACCTATATAAACCAGCAGTGTCCTAGTCTGTCCTTGTTCTTTGGTAGCCCTCTGACTGGTTGCCAACAGACCTACTCTGGGGACAATCATTATAACAGACATTACTGCAGTAGCCTAGAAGGGAGGAAACTGCAAGTCAAGAACTTCCAAGGAAAATGATGTTTCACTGAAAAATGTTCAATGAATCAAAATAAAACTTATAACTTTGACCCTTATTTAGAAACAGTTTATGTTTTTTTAAAAACTTTCCTTAAAGCAACTTCTGCAATTCAAACATTGATTCTTAGTAACAAAATTTATTTTCCCTACTTTTGTTCTTTGAGAGTATACATGGGAAGTACACTAGCTCATCTGTTAGTGAATTTGCTCCTAGCCATTACTAATTTAAAACACTAGTCATTGGCAAAGTACAGGGACAGAACAACCGATGGCGACAGCAGCAGCAGTGGCTGGGAGCCACCGAGACAGGCTCCAACACACTTGTTATTTACTGAAATTTAAATTGGTTGCAGACCCCAATTCTCCGAAGGGACATAAAATCAGCCACCTTCCCTGGAGTGACTGGGAGGGAGGGCTAGAATAGGGGAGAGAGAGTTGAATAGTCATTGAAAAAGCAACTGTACACAAAAGCCACAGTAAATATTTATGAAATTACGTATGATTTATTTTATCTTCACCACCTCCGTTATCTTCGAAAGCTCATTAAGCCAGCCACATGCAGCGGTATAAATATGTAACTACACGATAATAAAATACAACAAATCCTTAAACTGTTTTTACCCTTTTAAAAAAAATACACCCTTACTCGATGGGCACATTTTCATTGATGAGAGAGGGCAACTCAACTACAGGAGTACAATCAGGATACAAAGCTTTCACAGTTTTACATTGAAAGGTGCTGAAAGAATTAACATTGTCTTGGAGCTGTAACAATACCACTGAAATATTCAGTCTTCTAAAAGCAAGGCTCCCGACTGTTTAGTTGAGGCAGCAAATCTTTTAAGATTTTGGGGATCAATGGGGGAGACGTATTGGGGGATGGTGAAACAAAGTATTTCAAAGTATTAAAGAATCGAAGTATTACAGCCTCACCTCCACATTAAACCTTGGATTGTGAGCAGTTTTCACAGGAACAATTACAAATTCTCCCCTTCAATACTTGATTCAAATTTTGTTATACAAATGCAACGACAGGAATTAGTTTTCATGATTTTTGCATGAGTACATACTGCATTGTAGTAGTGCTCTGCTAATCTCTTTAAGCTGTTTAATGCCGGCAAAATGTACATTAATTCCACAAACTGTGTCATCTAGCCTTACTGTATTATGATAATGGTGTAAAATATGCTTGTCAACAACCCTTCCCAATTACAGCTTAACATAATATATAAATTGAGAAGTAGTACTCCATTTCAGTGAAAGAAAGACTATACAGTGCATAAAGTGCTTTTCACATTCACAGGACATCCTAACATGCTTCATAATAATGAGCCATAGAAAAGATACAGCACAGAAAGAGGCCATTCAGCCCAACATAGCGGTACCAGCTTTTGAAATACAGCCACTCATGTTATTTCAGAAATGCAACAATTTATGCAGTCAGGTTTCACAAAAATCAACATGGTCAGTTGATCCATTAGATGTAAAGGGTTAAATATCAGCCAGGTCACCAGAGAGAATTTTTGTTTTCTTCAAGCAGCGCTGTGTAATCTCTTATATCTATCTACAGTTCAACAGTGCTGCACACCCCCGTCACTGGACTGGAGGATCAGCCTTAATGATGTGCTCAGGTCCCTGAATCCACAACCTTCTGACAAAGGGGCGAGACATACTACATCTCCAGTTTAACTTGCAACTCATCTTGTGCAGGATTATTTGCCAAAATCCTTGAAGTACATGCTGCTGTCACTTAAACATTTGTTTAAAAAAAAAGTTGCACAAATATCAGAGACAACAAGGTGCAGGACTGGATGAACACACCAGGCCAAGCAGCATCACAGGAGCAGAAAGGCTGACGTTTCGGGCCTAGACCCTTCAGA